GAAGCATGCATTAAAAACGTAGACCCTTAATTGTTTTGTTTTTTCCGCTTTCGGACGTGCCGTGCGGGGGCGCGCATTGTCGTGCCGTAGCCACACACCAAAAATCATGAGATCACGACGCTTTTACCTGATCACAGATTTTAAGTTGTCCCCGAGCAGGTCCCAGTAGACATGCTCTTGACACTAATGTTCGTCTATTGGTCCTCTGTGGTCACAGAAGACCGTAAGCGAGACCTTGCCTTGTGTCAGAAATTGCAGGAATGTCTTCGGTCTTGGTGACGATGTGTATAATACCTCCACCCTTTGCTTGCCGGCTTGGTCTCGGGCTGCGCATAGTGGATTCAACGTTTATCCCCATTTACGATACATTCAAGAGAATCCTGTCAACTTCATAGCGTCGGAGCAGCGTCTCGCACGTATTCACACGAACCTCCTTAATGCTCATTCACACACTTGCAACCGAGCACGACCGAGAGAGACAAGATCGGTTTTTTAGCCTTCGCGACGTCTTAGAACCGGATGTGCTGCTGCGGAGCCTGTTCTAAGGAGTCGCAAGATTGTTTCAGTTCTACTCGGTTGCAAGTGTGTGAACGGCGCTTGAAAGTCTGCAGAATATCCTTAACTGTCTGGTGCACCGTGCCATGACTTGCGTTCTAGTCTTTAACCATTATATGGATAGGAACACGACGGTTTTTGTGTCCATAAAGGATCCATAGTTCAACTTCTGATATTGTGTGCGGCGTCATTGAAATCTGAGCTCGGCCGGAGCGAGGGCCGTCAATCAGACTTGACTCTATGCTTTCGTATTTTTTGTAGCACTCGTGGACCTGTCGAAAGCTTTTTAATGCTGTTTCAATATCTTGCGATGAATATCCACGAACGCTTCGACCCCTGCACCCAAAAACCGGATTACTGAGCGCTGCTCATCCCCGGAGCTTCTGACCAATCGCAGATGGCGCCCCTGTCCCGGGCTCCATTCATTCATTCATTCATTCATTTATTATTCCTTGAGGGCCCGTTAGGGCATTATACAAGGGGGGTCAATAACACACTAATAATCATAGTTTAAAATAAATTAACACTCACAGAGAGGAAGTCAGCAATACAGATGAATCAAAGAACAACAAAATACAAGTAGTTATCCACATTACACAATATTATTATTATAATTTTAACGGTATGCACTGTGAACATAAAAAGGAAGAAAAAAAATTAGCAGATAGACATGTTTGTAAGTTCCAGGTAATTGATCAGTTCTTCGGCAAATCTATCAGAGTTAGTCTCGGTTACAACACTATCGGGTAATTTATTCCAGTCCTTGATTGTCATGGGCAGATAGGAATTATAAAATGATACAGTTGAACTAAAAATCGGGCGAACTTTGCGCGAGTTATCATGGCGGAGAGATATGCTGTGGGGTGGAAGGAAGAGAGATGCTCCAATAGAGGCATTGTTATAGTATAATTTATGAAACAGGGCTAGTCGAGAGAGAATGCGCCTCAATGAAAGTGTGTGAAGATTAGCTTTGCTTCTTAGGCCTGTTACGCTAGTGAAACGAGAGTAGTCTGAGAAAATGAACCTTAAAGCTCGGTTTTGAATTGCCTCTAATTTCATAACTAGGTAATGCTGCCATGGGGACCATACAGAAGACGCATACTCTAGACGAGATCTAACAAATGTTATGTATGATAATTGTTTTATTTCAGGTGAGGCCAGTTTGAGGTTGCGCCGAAGATATCCTAATGACGAATTAGCCTTAGACAAAATAAAATTAATGTGATTAGCCCAAGATAGATCATAGGTTAAATGAACGCCGAGGTATTTATAAGATGTACAGGGGTCAATTATTGCGTCGTTGAGTTGATATGAAAAGAGTGATGGGGACTGTGATCTGATGAAAGACACTAGTTTCGTTTTATTTACATTAACTGTCATTTGCCATGTTTGACACCATTCTTCTATTATTAGTAAGTCAGCCTGTAAGAGTAGGTGATCATTATTATTACTTATCGGTCTGTATAGAGCACAATCGTCAGCAAAGAGGCGAAATTCAGATGTTAGGTTAGCAGGAAGGTTGTTAACGTATATTAAAAACAGCAAGGGGCCAAGAACACTACCTTGGGGTACGCCGGACGTTACACGAGAAAGAGGTGAACGGGACTCGTTTACAACAGTATATTGTGTACGATCGGATAGGAAATTTTTGATCCAAGTGATTACTGAATTATGAATACGCAGTTGGGTTAGTTTTTGTAGCAGACGTTGGTGGGGAACTTTATCGAATGCTTTAGAAAAGTCTATGAAAATGACATCGGTCTGTAATCTGTTGTCAAGGTTACTGTGAAGCTCATGAATGAAATGTATTAGCTGGGTATCACACGAATATGTCTTACGAAAACCATGCTGATTTTTAAAAAGCAGATTGTAATTTTCCAGATATTTCATGGTAGAAGAGAAAATGACGTGCTCTAGTAATTTACATGAGATGCTGGTGAGAGATATCGGGCGATAGTTCGATACAACATTACGATCCCCACTTTTAAAAATAGGGATGACTCTACCAATTTTCCAATCAGACGGAAGCTTGCCGACATCAAGTGACTGTTGAAAAATAAGGGTTAAAAATTGGGATAAGATATGTTTTGTGTTTTTCAGCAATTTAGAATTTATTTGGTCATCACCGGAGCTGGCAGAATTTTTGAGATTTTCTATCGCTTTCACTATACCCAAATATGTTATTTCGATTGAAGGCATAGCAGAATGAGAAACGTGATTTAGGAGAGGAATATTGTCATTGTTTTCTAGTGTAAATACTGAGCTAAAGTAGGTATTTATTAGTGAGGCGCTTTCGCCATCACACGCGGGAGTTCCATGCATATTAGTCAGGGGGATGGATTTATGCTCTTTAGGATGAATGACCTCCCAGAACTTATTAGGCTTATTCTTCAAAATGTTAAGAAGGTCGAAGTTAAAAAATTTGTTCTTTGCATTTTTCACTTCTCTTTTATATTCCTTAGCAGACGCGTTGTAATTATCCCATGCAATAGTATTGTCCTTTTCTTTAGCTTGCTTGAAATGTCGTTTCTTCCGAGCACTTAATTTGTAGATTTTCTTGTTGTACCAAGGCTTTGCATTGTTTGTTTTAATTCTGATGGTTGGAACGTACGTGTCAGTCAGAGTTGTTACCTTGTTTTTAAAGAGATTCCAATTTTCCTCAATTGTTCTTTGATAAAAGTTGATATGAAAAGTATCATAAAACTGTTGAAGATTTCTATTAATTGCATCATAGTCAGCTTTATTGTAGTCTTTAATAAATTTATAATGGCATGATCTGATGACGACGTCAAACTGCAGGTTTAAGTGTATAACATTGTGCTCACTAATAGCGGGAAGATGAGTGATGTTATTCACATGTGAGGGGTCAGTAGTAAGGCACAGGTCAAGAATGTTGCTAGAGTGATGGCTAACTCTTGTTGGTTTAGTTATCATTTGGGAGAGGTTAAACGTAAGAGCTAGGCCGAAGAACTCAATATCTAACTGATGACCTGATGAAAGGGAGTTCCAATCAATATTCGGAAAGTTGAAGTCGCCAAAGAGGATGACCGACGCATTTGGTTTAAGGGTATTAAAGATGGACGAGAGGGAGTCATGAAGTTCGCTAATGAAACTAGCGTGATGATCGGGTGCTCTGTAACATACACCAAGCAAGATATCGGAACACTGAGAGTGAAGTTGAAGCCATACCATCTCGAGGTTACCTGGAACGTTAACTTGTGACGCACTAATATGATTGCGGATAGCGATTAGGACACCGCCACCCCTCTTTGTTAGTCTGTCGCATCTGTGTAAGGTATAATTCATATTGGGGGGGAACACTTCTGAGTCAGCAATTTCGGGTTTCAGCCACGTTTCTGTCAGAATGACGAGGTCGGCAGTGCATGATTCAATTAGTGATAATAGGTCGTCGCGGTTTGTTAAAACACTTCTTATATTTGTAAAAACGACCGAACATGACTTGGTGTTTCTGCGTACTCGGGAAGACTGGGGTGGGCGGCGGCGTGTACACATCTCCTATGGCTTTTTTTCTTCATATATACTGTTGATCAGCTAAAGTTGTACCGCAGCGAAGGCTAGAAGCGCGAGCTCATCAGCTGCCGCTGGTGCACGAGAGCTTGTGCCGCCGATATGTGCCCTAGAGCAGGGAGCTCGAGCTTGTAGCCTTTCCTGCGGTACAACACAAGGTGGAACAGAGTATAATAAGTGGACAAACACGACACCATCTCAAATATTTTATTTGATTTGAAATATGAAACAATGTCGTGTTCGAACTACCCTTTTTGTGTCCGAGTGTGTGTCTATCGTCTCCGGGGTTTTCCAGCATGATTGCTCACCATGGCATCTACCCTGCGCTATCACTCTTATTTCCTTAAATAGCTATAGCATTAAAAACAAACTGATGAGCCGCCAAACTTCGGGTTATGGTGTCAAAAGAGCATCCCTCGTTCTGACCAAAAACCAGGGCTGTGTTCAAAAACTTATCCAAATGGATCCGAGTTACTCCGGCGGATCGTATCACGTGACAGCATAGATTGAAAAACGCTGGACGCGGGTAGGTTTTAGAACGCCAAGGGTGCAAAACCCTTACCCTGGAGTAAGATCGAGTAAATTTTTGAACACGGCCCAGGTCACCGACCCGCATCGCGTAAGACTGGCGTTTTCATCCCGTGATGGCAGCGCCAGGAGTTTCGTAACTTTGCAACGTAGCTCATTGAGTGACTCGAGTTTTTCTAACACGTTGTAGCGAAAGAGCTAAAAAAAATAGCCAGCGTTTGAAACTGAAGGGTCAGATGTCATCTCCCTAAGCAAGCTGCACACGAAGGCGTCCTGTACCTTCCAATCCATGAGGTTTGGCTCGGGCTCTTTTGGTTGGCACAAAAATGCGCGGGCGGTCGCGTGCTCCGCTTTGGAATACTGCAAACTGCGCGCTCTGGATCTTTCAGGTGCAGGTATCCCGCCTGTGCTCGGACCAGAGACCCAAGCCGTACCTGAGTGACGGAAGGCAGCTCAGGCTGAAGTTCATCACGGACGACCTGAAGAGCAGCAGGGGCTTCAATATAAGCTTCCGGGCCACGAACGACCGATGTGAGTCACACCCTTTGGGACTACCTACATGGACCGACGTACTGCTTACAAACAAGCCCGTGCGCGTGAACCAGATTCGCGCGAGGTGAAGAGTCAACTTTTTGAGGGAGAGGGGGCCGGTCAGGATGGTGACGACCGATGATGATGCTCCCCCGATGGAAGTCCCTCGGGAAGTCGAATAAGAAAAAAAAAAAAAACTAAAAGTTGTTCGATCCCGCTGGACACATTACGACGTTGGCTGGTTTTCGATGGCCAGTGTGGCCACGTTTATTTCAAAACAAAACGACAAGTCAACGGTAAAATACAAAACTTCTAAAATTAAAACCTATAGCCCCCAGTCTCAAGAGCCGAATTCCCCGAGAATCCTCTCGGCACCTCTTCTCTAGACTCGTAGGGGCCTCCTTTCCTTCCAGAGACGGACCAATCACTTTAAACTTCACCACTCCCACGTAGTACACTGGTCGGCGATGGTCGGCGAGCTGTCAGCCTGACGCTCCAATCGCCAAATCCAAATTCCTTGTAGAGTCAATATCTGCTATATTCTCAGTCTGGCTGGCGCCAACAGCTAAATTATTACATCGCGCAAAAAGCGACAATTTTACACTAAGCGGCGAAACCCTCTATATACAGGCGCACTCGGTTAAAAGCCGCAAGCAGCTCCAAGCACGCGTTCTCTCCGCATCGCCTGTCGAAACCCGAGACGTTGCTTACCGACCGCGGGGGAAGCTCTCTCGCCTCGCCGCGATGCTCCCGCAAAATGCTCCCTCCACAACGCCGACGCCACCACAAAAGGTTAAAAAAAAAAAAAAAACGCAAGAGTCTGGAAAGATAAACTTTTCTAACCAAAAAACCACCTTAATTATTAAGCAGGATTTGTACATGCTTAGCATGAAGTTTCTGCGCATGCGCCACGACGACGGCAGCGCCACCGCGACAGCGTGGGGTGCGAGTCGTCTGGTTCTTGCGCGTGAGTGGAGGTGACGTCACAAAGACGCCGAGCTCCGATTGGCTCTGATGGAAGGAGAGTGGCTAGACCTCGAAGCAGCCTCAAGGTCTACCCACTCTCCTTCCATCAGGGCCAATCAGAGCTAGGCGTTCTGACGTCACCACAAGCACCTGCAAAAGAAGAAGACGACCGTGCGCTTCGCGTAAAGCTGTGTATGAGCGCCGCCATTACTGGTCACCGTATTTGTTTCCTTTCATTATGTTCGCGTTGCATTCATCACTGTGGTCGCACGACAAGTTCTTGATTTTCTAGATACCACGCTGTCCTTATCCACGAGGCATTCTTTTCTTGTATAGGTTTGTCCCCACCCCCTTCCGATGGCCGAGCATCTCGGCGACACAGCAGATCAGTTATGGCGTTGCAAATTCGGCGCGCGGGAAAACCGTGTATAGAACCACAATTATCTAATGGTTTCGCTTTTTTTTTGTACTGGTTCTATCTGCTGATATCTCGGTGTCTTGTTTATTAATATTTCGCATCCTCGGTAACTTATTAATTCGATTATTCATTTCTTTACCTTTGACTTAATTCCTCGCTCCCTCGCTCTTTCTCTAACTCGCATCACTGTTCATCTTATCACTCGCATGATTACTCCCTGACGCATGACAACTTCTAACTCACACCTTCACTTTATATCTCACTCACTAACTTATTCACTCGCTTGCCCATGATTCTTTTTAACTCACTCCATCACTCACTTGATTACTTTATTGCTCGCTCACCCACTAACTTCATCACTCGCTTGCTCGGGATCACTTCTAATTCGCTCCACCACTCCCTGGCTCACTCACTAACTTATGTATCCACTCGCTTGCTCATGATCCCTTCTAACTTACTCCATTGCTCTCCTGCTCACTTCATTGCTCGCTCGCTCTTTCTTTCACTAACTTATTCATTCGCTTGCTCAGGATCACTTCTAAATCAATCGATCACTCGGTTGCTCACATTATTGCTCGTTGGCACGCTTCCTGACGTACTTACTCACACTCTTAAGACCTCCTTTGATTCTCACCTTCACTCACACAGCAGGTCGCTTACTCACTAAGATATTGTTCACTTCTTCACTCCGTTATTCACCTATCTTCACTCTTTCCCTAGCTTCCAGATTTTCTACCTCGCTCGCTTCCTTACCTTTAACTTCCTCATTCCCTCTCTCAACCTCCCTTTTAATTCCCTCGCTCACTTATTTTTGAGCTATTATTTACTCCTTTCCTGAATTACGTAATCACTTGCTCACTTATTTTTTACTATTTCACTCACAAACTCGCTCACCGACGACTCACTCATTCCCTCCCTCACGCCCACTTTAAGGCTGTAATTCACAATTTTTCCTCCTTTGGTCGTTTGGTAAACCGTGAAACGATTTGGGGTTGGAATGTTTATGACTTTGCAGAGGCGTACTGGTCCTAGTCTGGCCCAGGTATACTCGCACAGGCCACCACCGATTCAGAGGCTTCCTTGTCGCGGTGAAATGGCGAGGATAAAAGGGTACTATTTCTTTCAGTCTTGCCTTCGCAAAGCTTGATGACATGATTGTGGGATCGAAACCACATGCCTCACGACCGCCGAGCGCGGCTCATGGATTAAACACGAGAACTGCGTGAGCACTGGATATCGGCTCGTAAAAATACATGCCTCGGCGGGCACTCGGGCAGTGGCTCGTGTCCAACCACTGCGCTGATGAGGGTAGCCTAAACTAATAATGCCTGGTGCCCAGCACGCGTTCACTACTTTGCTAACCCCAGCGCCTGGCTAGGATTAACGTTGGCGGCGTACGGTGGGCACCAGGTTACGTGGCCGCGTGTTCTGGCTCCGAGTTGAAGCGACTGCCATCGCCTAGATAAAAAAAAAAAATATTCAGCTACTATCGTTGAGCAATGATTCTAAGTAGTGTTTAGCAACAGTAGAAAAACCCTTTCCTGTATTCTTTTAGTTACTTCTTCACTCACATTTGTTTCATCCTTCACTCAATTACTTACTCGCCTTATCCACGCCCGCCTCTAACTCACGAATTTGATCACTTCATTCCTTGCTTGCTCATTTGTTCTCCGATTCACTCACTGGCTATCTTTTTTCGTTTATTCCTTCCCTCACTATATTTTTTGCTTACCTATTATTCACTTGCTTGATCACGCTCACTTCCAATTAATTCATTTCTTCACTGGCTTACTTACTCACTAAGTTACTTACTCGTTCACTTCTTTCTCAAGCCCCCATCCTGAAAAACTCCCTTCATCAATAGACCGATCTCACCAGCCAGTTTGACTACGCCACCGCTGCCGCAATGCATCGAGGGAACTTTAGTCTTTTTTGCACGTGCGAAAACCTCGCTGGAGCTCTGCAGGTATAGAGTACGAGAAGGCACGAGCCCTCGCGTGCACGGCCGTCTGCCTCCTGTGAACTAAAGTTATGGTGGCTGTACGCATGCGCCCAACGCTTAGTGAGATCGGTCTATTGATTTTCTAAAAGTTACGAGCTCACTTACTTACTAAGTTGCAGCTACTCAGATAATTATAGCCTCAATGATAACTTGAAAATTCTTCAAGCTTTTGACGCCACCGCGGTTAAAGAGCAATCATCATTTAGAAGCGTCGTATTAAGTTTCCATAAACCCCAAATGAACCTCTTAGGCGTTCCTTCAGAAGAACAAATTAAAAACGAAACAACTGAATGACAATAATAATTCCTGGCGAAAGGAAACAAGAGGGACAAAGGACAAGCACAAAACTTCAAACACAACTAGGGGACCGGTGCGCGACCGAAAAAATCCGCCTGGTCCTGGTGTCGAACCAGGGACCTCTCCGTTTCCAGTGGAGCGCTCTACCGACTGAGGTAACCAGGAGTTAGACGTCAGTAGAGAAAACTGGTTTTATCAGTTGCCACCCATAAGGGGAATGGCCCGCCATTTTAACACCATTCTAAAGTAATTTTTGTCTAGCTCGCTAGCGCTATTTCAATAATTGCATTGCCACCACAGGTGAATGATCACTGAATGACACGTGGTCGACTAAATGTTGTTTGCATGCGCTAGTAAGTTCGAGAGAAACGCAAGCCCTGTCTAATCGCGCGCGGGTCAGTATAGAGGAGGCTATGACACTAAATATTCCTGCCACTTGACGTGCAGTCAGCAAAGTCTTTAATTCACAACGTTCGAGCATATCGTTTAACCAAACTGAACTTGTATCTCTATACCGTGCGCTGTTCGATCTGTCTTGATGCGCAAAAACGTAATTAAAATCCCCCAACAAAATTACCAGACGATCTGTCTCAACATACCAGTCAATATGTTCGAAAAACACTCCACGTTCCTCCAGCTTCGTAGGGACATAGATGTACAAAACACAAAACTTGAAAGTAGAGATTAAAAAAAATCGCTCAAGTCGGCTCGCATTGCAGCGAATCACATGCTCAACGGTCCCAATACACTTTTTTTTTCTTTTAGCTATTGCGTTCCACTTTTAAATGCCAAGCTTAAGCGTCGTCCTCCTGTAATTTTCACATCTGTTGTATATGAGAAAAATGAGTTCACACAACTGCATTCGTCATCCAAAATAATAAAAATACCGTTTTTTATATATATTCTAGCTTTTGTTTACCATAAACAGTTCGAATTCTGGGCGTCTGTCATTTAGTTTGTCGAAGACAGTAAACTCTCCCGCCTTTCATGTTTTGAAATTTTTTTTTCTCCATACGTGGGTGGGCACGTGGATTTCTGGAACATAAACAACCACAGGCTCCGACCCCAGGTAACAGCATTAGAAGTCTGTGCCGGTTTTTACTGTATAGTCACGGACAAGGTGGGATGGAGGAACTTGAGCACTGCCACCTCTATACTCACGAAGCCTGGCAGTTCCACGACGGAGCCACAGAGTGCCCGGCCGCAGATTTGGAGCGCCAGGATCTGATAGCACAGAGCCTCAAAGAGCCGTTTCTTGGGGAACCTGGGCGTCAGCGCACAGCTTTTGCAGCGGCGATGGCCCGAAACACCCTTGTTCGCTCGGGAGAAGTGTGTTTCGGCGTCTCCCCGCAGCGGGGTGCCAGTCACGTGGCTCTCCTCTCATCCGTTGTCTGCCGCTCCACCTTTTCCAGTTTGGAGGCCGCTTCTCGTGGCGATCTGCCAGGCTTTGTCAGTATATAGGAAGCTATGGCTTGAGTTGTCCAGCACGAGCTTCCCGCCTTCAACGACGGCGTCTCGTGCGCATCGTTTAAAAAAACATGTCCTGCCGCTCTCACCTTGTCAGTGACTAAACGTGCTTTGTTTCTGATGAGCCCAGTTAACCATTAAAATGTGACTCCATCACTTTAAAACACCCGAATTAGTCTGTTTGTTTATCTACCGGGTGAAGCAAGGAGACGGTAGGCTCTTTAAATCGACCGGGAAATTCGGTTTCTTAACCTATCGCGCTACGACTTTGCGCAGCGTTGCCCACACATGGTGCATTTTTTTCGTAAAATTTGCAAAGAGCGAACTTACCTGAGGAAAAAGTAAAGAAAGAAAAAGGCTTAGCTCCTATGGAAAGGCAGCGACGCCACCGGTCTGCAATCAACACGGCGCCGTTTTGCACGGTAGACAAGAGATGGCGCAACGAACGCCACCAACGAACGAGCATACGGGCGCCGAGAGCCGGCCGAAGTATTCCTCAAAGGCTCTTTAGGAGACGATCTTTTCGACTCAAAAGCGGCGCGCGTTCCGCCGGCAGCGACAGTCGCAGAAACAAAAAAGACAGGCGTGGTAACAACAAGGAACTGCAGTTCCTTGTCTGCTAATTAGGCCGGCTCTCGGCGTCGTCTGCTCGTTCGTTGGCGGCAGTTGGCGTCGCGACCCCTTGCGCCATCTCTTGTCTACCGTGGAAACGGCGCCGTGTTGATTGCAGACCGGTGGCGTCGCTGCGTTTCCATAGGAGCTAAGCCTTTTTCTTTCTTTACTTTTTCCTCAGGTAAGTCCGCTCTTTGCAAATTTTACGAAAAAAATGCACCATGTGTGGGCAACGCTGCGCAAAGTCGTAGCGCGATAGGTTAAGAAACCGAATTTTCCGGTCGATTTAAAGAGCCTACCGTCTCCTTGTTTCACCCGGTAGATCGTTTGTTTCGTTTGTTGGTTAGCATACTTGCTCATTTGTTACTGAACAATCCGCTGCACTCGGTGTTTCTGTCTCGAACGGCTCCGCCCCTTCCCTTTCTCCAGCCCTGTGCAACGCGGCGCGAGAGTTCCAGTGCTCCGACACCCGGTGCATCCCGTCATCCAAGCGCTGCGACGGCCGCTTCGACTGCCAAGACGCCTCGGACGAGTTGTCCTGCGGTACGTCGAGGATTCTCTTTCACGCTGCCCATAGGATGGATGGATGAATGATACTGGCTATGCCCCTTGTAATGGCCGGTAGCTTGCGCCACCTGGTCACTCAAAAGACGCGATGTCTCTGCGGACGCCTATGACAGCGTTATCTGCGGCCACGCCCCACGCGTGTTCCAACCCCGAGCATCCATACATATGAATGCTTCCAACATGTCGGCAGACGGTTTCTATACGACCAATCAGACCGTCTCAGGCAATGTCCGCAGTCCTTCTTTTGTAATATGTACAAACAATGTGACCGAATCGCTCATAACTACGGTTCCGTGTTTTCGGGAAATATTTTTTTTCTTTTTCTTTTTTTCAAGTTTAAAGGGTTTTTTTTTTTTAGCTTTTTTTTTTTTTGGCTTTTACAAATTCGGTGTTTTCAGTGAAAATTTGTGGCTTTGGACCGAGAACGAATCGGCGTTTATCGGTGTTTTCCTCGAAGCTAACTTGACACGGTGTTCCCGCAACCCCAAGTGTGCACGGCCGTGAATCGGACACTTGGAAAACGCTCCTGAACCGATCGAAAAGGAAGTGGGACGATAGGCCTGGTTCCCGAAAACATCCTTCCGGGTGCTTCAATGGGAGCCCGGACTAACTGCAAAATAAAGCTGAAGTTAGAGATTATTTTCAATCAAACTCGGAGTCGGTATTGTCTTCTCTTTCGAGCATAAAGCTCCAATTCGAAATGATTTCGTGTTTTTTTTTTTTCGTTTTTTTTTTCTTATGTTTGAATAAATGAGTTTAAGGGCTACTTTTCGGGGTTTATCGGCATTTATTGAAAACACTGTGCGTAATTGGGCGTATCTGGGCGAGTCGGTGCGTGAGACAAATAAGTAAAATAGCGCAAAGAAGAACGCGAAGACAAGTACACGAGACAAAAGCACACTTCTTGCTGTTTTATTTTATTCTAACCTACTGTTTAGGCAACATTTGCAGACTGATATCACTGTTTAAACACAACACGATTCCAAAACAATTTTTTTTTATTTCAGAAGTATTACTATCAAACTAACAAACAATGTTGATCGCTACATGATTCTTTTTTTAATAGCTTCTTTAGTGGTATGGCAATTTGTAAAGTCAAAAATGCGACAGATGTTTGAAAAAAATCTCAGGTGTTCACTAGTTTTGTTAAAAACAAATAAGGCCCTTATTTTTTCTCCTGTTATTTGAGAAAGCTATGAAAACCGTAAGCGTCTCTTTGCAATACACTATCGTGAGTTGACTGCTCTGCGTGTTTACGGAGGGACACCCGTCAACGAATAGACCGCGTTTGAGAATACGTGCAAATACGACGCCATAAACGCTTTTTCCCGCCTGACTTCAGGCTGGGTACTTCATCGCTAAGCTCGTTACCGGGGAAGGCAATAAGCACAAGATTATTTTTTACGAGAGAATTTCGGTCCTAACAAAGAACGTTGCAAAAGTCCATGATGGCCTGTTATTGGCACCTGTGTCGTCCTCTTTGTGCTGCGCATACTCCCTTGGCTTATGTCGGCCGCAAGTGCAGTCACTCAGCGGCCATGGTCAGTACGAGGCCAAAAAAATCACATAGGCTTTTTCACATTGATTATTACATCATTCCTGGTATGCCTTTTATGCATGAGCAAAAACTTTCGTACATATGTATGCAGGAGGGAATAATTCACGGTGATTACGTGGCCGTGAGAATGTCACGGGACATTCCCACGGACTTGGATAGGACCCGATGGCTCGAAGCATCCGCTGAAAGCAGCCGAAGCACACCAGCGATCGGGCCACCCTAATTAACCCCAAAGCTTCTTTTGTACGAATTTAGAGTGACGGGTTAATCTTCTATACTTTTGTAGAGGGAGAGTAGCGACTTCTGGTACACACAAAAGGGATTCTCGGGAAGACGGGAGTTCCTCCTTCCCCTCTTCTCTCGTCGTGGCCGCAGGCGAGATGCTCGCGCTCACCGTCACTAGCTGCCAAGGTTCCTAGACGGGCATAACAAACGAAGCGTTAGCGACATCCACCAGGTGCTCTTTGCTAATCGTTTTATTCGTTTTAAAATTCCTTTTCGCGTCTTTTTGAACAAGAGATAGGTGTGTCTGATGTGATAATGCTCCCATGAACACGAATAGACCAAGAAATAAGCGCCGAAATTTGGTTGTAGTATCCCTTTAAAGGGACACTGACAGGATATTCATGCTCGCCAAGGTTTTTATTTGTACATGACATATGAGAGCCCAACTAGCCAGAACACAATTTGCGGCTCGAAATTAGTTTTCTTTCCGCCCGAAAACCGCCGATCGAGAAATTTCCGGTTTGAGGGGCGCTCACTCTCTTCTTCGTGGTCACGTGCTGTTTCCGATGGTTTAGACACCACCACCAAAGATAATCGAAGTCGTGGGTCATCGAAGGCACACACCCAATACTGAAAATAGAGAAAAAAATTTATTACCAATTTTTGTGGCTTCTAAGAAACTGCGAATACGCTGATCGAAAAGAAAAAAAGAAAGTTGCACAGCCACGTGACTTCCGGTAACTCTGTCCTCTATTTATTCTTCCTCCCCAGTCCAGTTTTGGTTTCGGTTTCGAGCACTTGTGTATTTTGACTTTATTAAACATATACGTGACGCTGCAGCAAAATATTGATTCGGTAGTCTTCTGACACCATAATGAACCGCCTAACAAAGGATTTTTTTTTTAAGGGGGGGGGGGGGCAGTGTCCTTTTAAAAGAATTTCCAGACGAGTTAGTGCTACAGGCCTTGATGCCTTGTTAACACCGCAGCTTGGGCTAGTTGGTTTTCCGTAATCTGTACTTCACAGCGCATAAACGTCTCACAGCGCTGTGTGTATGTTTTTGTGTCTGATTGAGTGAGTGTTGCTATTGTGAGGCTTTCATGCGCTGTGAAGTACAAATTAAGGTCTTTATGCCGTCTGTCTGCTGTGACTTACGCGGAGCACTTCTGCTTCGTCGTCTCAAGAAACGAATTTCCATAAACAAGCGTCTACTTATCGTGAGCCAAAAGTATTTCTATCAGCCCACTACAGTTGTCTCATACTAATACATTGGCGCACAGTTTCCATCACGGTGGTCGGAACAGTTGTTTAGGGTGGTTCAGGCAGTACTCGGAATGGTAGCTTTGTGGTGGCCCCACGCGGTCGAAATCTCCCATTGATTTTTTGTACCTAAAGCAAAGGCCGTAAGGAACGCCACTGCGTTCCGTGGCTCTTGTCGCTGGCAGGCCCTGGCGAGTCCCACCCATCGTATAGTCGCCTCGCAAATTGATTGGTTACGATTGAAGGATAGTGGGTAGACCTCAAAGTTAACTGCATCGAGGTCTACCCACTATCCTTCAATCAGAACCAATCAGAGCTCGGTGTCCTGACGTCACCACAACCCTTGCAAAAGAAGCAGACGAACTTGCGCTCCGCGTAGCGTCCCTCGTTCACAGGCTTGGTACGAAAAACAGTCTGCACTCTCTAGACACCGTCTATGGCCTGCTTCTTCCTTGTATGACCACTCACAGAAAAACCGACTGCAGACGTGCTCACATTGATGTACGAAGCGAGATACGCGTGGCTTCGTGTCTGCAATGAACAGCGTCCCTTTGATGTTTTCGAGTATAGTGTGACTGCGGCATGATGCATGCTGACCGAAAAGTCGGAAGAGGCCCGCGAGACTGCATTCTATAATGGGGGAATCCCGCGCTGAATTGTTCCAGGAGCCCCGGTCTACGAGAGATACCTGAAGCAGGCAGCCTGCGGCGACCCGGCCATCGAGCCCAACACCGCGCCAGGAGACCGCATTGTGAACGGACACGAAGCCGTGCCCCACAGCTGGCCCTGGCAGGTGGGCCTGGCCGCTGGCCTCCACCTGCGTATTTCGACAGACTAGAGTCCGCTTCCGGTGGCGTAATAGACCCTTCCGCAAATTTTCCGCCATCTAGTTTATTAATCTATTTACAATACCCTCGGGGCTTCTAGGGGCATTGTAGAGGAGAATGGTTGGTTAGTACCAGGCGAAACTCGGTGTCATCGATGATGGTGACGATATCATCGGGAAGGCCGTTTCAGTCCATGATAGATTCGGGTAGAAGTAAAGGTTGTTAGGCAGGGGGGTTTTGTCTTGTGTAGGGCGATCTTGCGTGAATGGTCCAGTCTCGAGGATACATAGGTGGGTGGGCTAAATGGAGACTGTCTTAAAATGAACAGTAATATACTTAATGAAAGAGGCAAAGCCTAGACCTCTTACGACGTAAGGAAAGGTCAGAGAGGGTTATTTGAGATTCAATTGCAGTGACACTAGGGAAACGAGAGCAGTCGGAAAGGATCAAGCAAGTACAAGTACAACATTAGTATTGACGCTTTAAACACGCGCCGAATTGAGCCGCTATAGCCCACCTTCTCTTGTCTTACGAAGAGGCCGAGACATTGAAGCGGGCGTTGACGAGCCTCCACAAGGGCATAAGCTAGGGACAAGGACACAGTTGCAGCTAAAGTGGCAATAACAATTCCTGCTGCGGCAATGATGAAGTGAAGCGAACGCAATAAGGGGAAAACAACTGAAGGTCGGTTATGGCGTCGCCCATGCACAGCAGCTGCAAAGCGTCTACACTCGATTTGTATTGCAAGATAAGACGGCTGGTGACAAGAAGCTGCTCAGACTGGAAAGACGCGTGATCGAACACCATCGTATACCTTAACTTCAGGGGGAGTGAAATGAGCTAATGTGACGGCCTGCCATGCGTACCGGCCAGGACGCTGGCGACGCAATGGCTTCTGATATTGGCGAAGAACAACAGCTTTCGGCGATGAAGTACTCCGCGTGCGTTCTAAAAGCGGCCACCCCTGACAATAGAAAGTTTTAGAATAGGGAGCCTCGACGCTTTCGGTCCCTCGAGCAACTTGGAGTGTCACACAATGTATTGCGCAGAACTTCGCGTGCAGATGCAGACCCGAAAATTGCGGTTCCGATGGGGGGCGGGGATCTGAGAGCGGTATATAGTGCGTGGACCCATGGCAGCCTCGCACCTAAGCCTCGCCCACGTAAATTACGGGGCCGTTTGGAGTCGGTAAAAAAAGACGCCGCGTAAATCCAGTTGCGAAAGCGCTCGTTTGATACGAAATAAGGCCAATCAGGGACCCGCATTTGCGTGGGCAAATCGCAATACGCCACCCGGGGTGTACTACACGAAGCGTAGTTTGGCCGATTTTTTTTTTTTTTTCCCGAGATACGCAGTTTGCACCTGATGGCCCACTGTGTGAGGCTAAATTGGGCGGCAACTCTTTCCGCTTTGCTTAAATGGAAATTTTAGCCGTGTACAGCAGTGTCCGGCATCTCTACAGTCGCCGCGCTACATTTGCAGCAGTGCTACCCAAACTCTGCTAACCTGCGACCCAGCAAAAAATATTTATAATACATCGCGTAGAGAGCCCCTCCCACCCCCGTCTTCCTTCCGGTTCTCCGCGACACCACACGCGTTTCAACTTCAGTGTATGGACAGTAACGAAAATGAAGCAGGGTTTTATTTCACGGTTAGGTATAGTCAGGGTGAATCAGATGTGCTAAAGTTCATCGCAAGCAAAAAAGAAAAAAAAAAACGCACGCCACCAGGAATTATTTTCTAATGACTAAAAGGAGCTTGTACGTTTGTTAGGGCACACTTTCTCAGAACGAGGGGAGTTCGGATCATACGCCGATGTGCGGAGGGCCAGTTCGTCTGCTTCTTCCACAGGAGTTCCAATGACGTCAGAACGACGCCGGGCTCTGATTGGTTTCGAATGAAAGGATAGTGGGCAGACCTCAATGCTGGATGCCTTGTGGTCTACCCACTATTGTCTTTTTCTTTCAGCCAATAGGAGCTCGGCGTTCTGAACATTATCGCAACCCCTGTGCAAGAAGCAGACGAACTGGCCCTCCGCATGCTCTCAGTTCCGGCTCGATGACGAGCTGCGACATATACTCTAAACGACTTAATTTTCGCGGGCTCAAATTTTCGGGAATCGGGCCAAAGCTCAAAATTTGAAATTATTCGCTGCTTATAATCTTCGCGAATCGAGTGTAGCTTCCGTAGCATTCACATATTGTAAATGCTACGTTCGTATTGTTCGCGGGACGTATTTTTCGGGAATTGTCGGCGATTTGCGAAATTCGCGAAAATTAGGTCCTCGCGAAAATTTAGTCGTTTACAGTACTTTGTTTTCATCCACGTCACTGCTGAAAAGCCTAGTACAAATGTTTCACGAGTTTTCGAAACGGTAGGTATAAGGTTTAAAAGCACAAACAGACAGGGACGATAGGAAGTAACACAAACGACAGGGACTGGCGCTTTTAAAGTTTATATATATATTACGGACCAACTAGCCCAAACCAAAGTTTTCCGAAACGCTTCGCGACGCTCCCGCCGAATCTGTTGCGACCTCCCTATGTGGTCGCAGCCCAAAGCTTGGGAAACACTGATTTAAAAAACACGGCAAAGATTGAGATTTTTTTGTTTTATTTCGCGTCATGGTTTACGTTTTTTGGGTGTTCCGATGCTGATTACTCAGAGAGCAATATCTAATTTGTCTGTAGCAAAACGAGCGAAGATAGCGTTCGTAGACGGGTCGTGTGCTAACGTGACCGAAGAACGCGTTTCTTCTGCTACAAAGAGCCATTGGCAGACTGAAATAATGCAAGAAAACAACGTGCGTCGTTTGCTAACAGACCGGGGAAAAAAAGTTGACGGTCTTGTACAAACCAAGCGCTGTGGCGAAGAGATATCGGACGCTGCCTGAAATTATGAACGTCCGCTATTTCACGTTGGAAGCCATTCACATACCCGCCCTTAAAGGACGATGTACAACCTCGACTTTCTACAGGGAAGATAATCCTCTTGGCGGTCCCCTCTCCCAATCTGCGAGAGAAGCCAAGTTGGGGCAAGGTAAAAAGTGGAGAGTATATAGAGGGAGAGGAGGCGGGCAAAAGTGGATACCGTACACACAAGCCGACATCGACCGGTGGATGAAGGAGTACTAAGGACAAGCACATTGAGGCAGCAAGAACTCTCCCGCTATTTGTATGTTGCTGAGATGTTCTCACGGAAATATTGCCCAACTAAGAACTCGCGAACGAGTCAAAATATTATTTTTTGATTACGCGCAAGACGTGATGCCACGTCCAATCTGCTGCCGAGTAGGCTACATATCGCTCTGACCTCGACCAAAATCAAACCCCTGGTGTCGGGCTGCTACAAACCATCGGGGAAGAATTGAATGACTGGCGTCAATGAATATTCTTATTAAAAATAGCGCAAAAAAGACGGGACAAAAAGACGACGAAGCACACGGGACAAGCGCTAACCCTCAACCAGTCGTAGAGGAATCGAACTTGCCGATACGCTCAGACTTGCGGATCTTACAAACTCTCTTCCAATGGACGGCCCCAAGACACCCAATAGGAAAACAATGTCCGGTTGCCACTGTCCTTTTCGATGGCAGAATTTGTTAGATCCTCAAGTATGAGTGTGGGCGGCAAGTGCGATGCCTTCACGACTGGTTGAGAGTTAGCGCTTGTCCTACATCTGTGCTTCTTCGTCTTGTTGTCCAGTCCTTTTTGCGCTATTTTACTATGAATGTCACTTACCAACTTTCCCAGCAGACCCAGCTTTTACAATACGTCAGTGTACGAACGGATGGCTTTCTGGTCTCGTGCAGGTCAGCATCCAGCTGGCTATCGTAAAACCATCCGGTCACTTCTGCGGAGGAGCCCTCGTAGAAAACAACTTTGTCGTCACAGCCGGTCACTGCCTCCGTGAGTAAGTAAAGCTCAAAGCACATCTGAGTAGCGGGCCTTTATGTTGCTTTTTGGCTGCGCCTGGCTGGAGCGGCGACATGATCTGGAACGGCGACTGCCACAGCTTTCTGGCCGTGGTAACCATTTTGCTACCCGCTTTGTGCTGGGCTCGTATTACGGGAGACCGGTGGATGGGCCTGTGCCCGTGAATATGCCCAATTGGAATGTACTTATAGCCGAGGTAATATATTCCAAGTAGAGGCTTACTCGACTCGGTATTGCAATTCATTGCCGCAGTCATCTGTACAAAGGTGTCGCATTATCGTTGGATGCGGCGCCTGAAATTAACTTGTACTTGCCTGAACGCGTGACCTTACAGGTTCTTAAAGGGGCACCCCCCCCCCCCCCCCCCACTTTTTTCCCCCATATCTCAGGCGATTCAGTATGGTGTCGAAAGACTACTACCCAATCAATATTTTGCTAGAACGTCGCGTATATTTTTAATAAAGTCAAAAAACGCAACTGCTCGAAACTGAAACGGAAACTGAACTGGGGAAGTAGAAATATAAAGGAGCAGAGCGTTACCAAAAAGTACCGTGACTGTGTACGGTACTTTTTAGAAGCTACAAAAATGTTTATCATATTTTTCTCTATCTTTAATATTCATTGTGTGCCTTCGATGACCCATGACTCGGTTTATATTTGGTGAGAACGGCACGTGACCACGGAGCAGAAAGAGAGAGCGTGACTCAAAATGGCCACTTCTCGATCGGCGTTTTTTGGGCGAAAAGAAAAGTCTATGTGCTCCTAGCTGCGGTGCCTAACCACACTCTTGGTCGCCAATCCTCCCGTACGTATAAGTGTACCTGTAGGTTTCATTAGGGAGTTTTCGTAGACCGTTTTCACCATTCCGCAACGCCCTCCGCAACCCGCTGCGATGCCCGGAACTCTACAGTCAAGGATATCGGCACGCAGGCGCAGTAGCAACTTCGTTGCGGAGGGCATAGCGGAGGGAGAAACGCGGTCTACGAAAACTCCCTATTGACTATGCTGTTCACCTTCAAACGGCCAAGATGCTGCACTCGATGATAATACGATGTCTTGAGCTGAACAACTCTGCATTTCTCAAACTCTCGGACATCATATTGACGCGGAAGAGCACATTTCGCGAATAAGGGTATAAAACTCAGTTTATGTTTTAAAAATACAATTGGGATTGACATTTGGTGATATTATTGAAAAATAACTCTTCTTCTCTTTCATGTTGCAAACAGCCGCAGACCTGAGGAGATTGTGATAAAGATTGGTGCCCACGACCTCCTCAACGACGACGGGGTGCAGTACCGAAAGGCTCAAGCATTCAGCATACACCCGGTGAGTAGGGCTTCTTCGAACTGCATCAACGATCACTGGTCTCGAGCGCGATTCACCTCAGGAGGCACGTCAAAAACATCTATGCAAAACGTAAACGATCGAATTGATCTTTGTCGTTTAGCTGCTCCTGCATTTATAAACTTATTCGTGACTGTTAAGCTGCCGCGATCATACCTCGTCAAAACTCACTCGTGAGTGCACTCACTCACCTCATTCACCCTCACCGATCAGGCGTGAGGGAAAGGTGAGTGAGTTTGTAAGCCTCGAAAACTTGCGAGTTTAAGGTTGAGTCAGGGGCGGTCGGCGAGGGGTTTAAGCTCGGTGAGTTCATGAGTTCAAAGGGTTCGGTGGCGTGAGTTCATGAGTTCGTTAAAGGGAAGATGGGGCACTTCTACATTTGAGAAAAAACGCTTGAATTGCATTCATTTGGCCCTTAGAATAACAGATATCAAAATTATATTTCAATGCGACGGGCCGGAGAGCCACAAGAGCAATTTCAAAATAGGGCTGAAGCCCCGCCCCCCTAGCCTTGGGCAGCCAAAAAATCCGTCGATGACGTCACGGACAGCGACTGTCTTTCGCGTTTTTCTCGCGTTTAACAATACTTTCGCAGCAAATGGTTTGGGTATTCGGGTTCACGGGGTAAAAATACACTAGAATTCACTTCTAACTTATTTTTTCCAAGAAGCTCCGTAGCTTCCCTTTAAGTTAACGAGTTCGGTGAAGGGTGTGACTTTGTGAGTTCACTGAGTTCATGAGTTTGGTGAGGGGCGTTAGTTTGTGAGGTCGGTGAGCTGATGAGTTTGGCGAGGTATGAGGTCCCTCAGGGGGCATGGGATAGATGAGGGTTTGCAGGTGTCATCGAGAAAGGGTGAATGGCGTGACTTCTCCGTACATATTCGGGAAAGTTCAAGTCGACTCTCGCCTCACAATGGCGCGTTTGTTCGTACGGATTTTAATACGGCTGCTTCTCTACGAGTTATGGGAAAGGAGGAAAAGTCGCCAAAGGATTTATCTGCTCGCTTCGGTACCTGCTCACTTCGCGGCGGCTTGGCCTGGTCTTCGCGGCGGGGGGACGAATGAGAAGGCAGGGCTCTCCCGCGCTCGCCTCACCCGCGACTGCGGGGCACCGACAGAAACGCGTGGCCCTTTGTTTCGTGAAGGGGCTAAACGGGCGATACACCGGTGCACCTGAAGGTGCTATTTCGAGCGCGCTCGTCTTAGGCACGGCCGCTAATTCTGCAGTCAATATTAAAATGAAAGCCTGCTGGGAACTGTCGCGATTTACTTGTATGCTCATTTGTTCGAGTTGTCACCAGGAGTTCTGTCAAAAACAAAGTACGCATACCCATCTTCGTGGTCGAGTACGCCCGAAACGCCGGACTTGTCCGCAAGATTTGATTTCAAGGCTGCTACATTTACTCGGTAGCATCTAAAAAAAGATTAATTCAATTGTTGATAGCAATAGAACTCCAGGCGATAAGTTAGATTAGATTCAAAGGGATATGTATTTCCATTTTCGCCTAATATTGGTGATAACAAATCCATGACGTCCTTAACCTGCTAGACTTCATTTCATTTAAGTCCAGACACAGCCGACACTATGAAGATATAGTATCAATCAAGCAGCGTCAAAAGCACAAGTCACTAGGCCTTTTTTTGGCTTATGATTGGTTCAGCAATGATAGAACACGTACAGAAGCATGGAGAACACCATGATGGTGACCTTTTCACGCTCTCTGATTGGTCCGATCAGTTCATAGAGTCGGCGCCATCTGCGCTTCAGGGAAAACGAAGTATAAAGGCGAATTGGTTTTCTGTTGAAACATGATGAACCTTCGTGAAGTACTATTTTGTGAATCGAGAAAAAAAATTATTTTTCACCGGGAAATTAGGAACGATTTTCGTCATTTTTTTTAGCTCGGCATTTACCTAAAGTAAGTATCAGTGACAAGAACATCTAACAGAGGGGGCCACTGAACATCAGTCGGAACACTGGCTGCACCCTAAAACGTTTCGCGTGCCGAAGAAAGGGTTTTCTTACGAGCTCCGGTAGGTATTTAGACATAAGTCACGGTGCCTATATTTACCAACTGGCCCAGCTCACGTTGGTGCACGACCAGGCAGTTTACGAGGCGCGCTCTTTTTCTTCTTATCGACAATATATTTCTACGAGTCAATAACGGGAGGGAAGGGGTAATATTCGGCACCTCAGCAATTCAAAATATTCGACATGCGTGCAGGCGCGTGTGCGCACGAAAGCAACCTCCCCCCCCCCCCCCCAAAGAGGTTAGGCGCCCCCAATTTCCTTTTTTTTTTATATATATATATAGAACAAAACAAATTTTGGAGAATTGTACACTACTTGATTAACTTACATGCCCCCTCCCCTTTTTTTTTCTTCAAATATTGCGTAGATATCCGGATTAGGCTGTCGGTAGTTAGAAGTGAAGTAATTTTTATATCGAAGGTAAAAGGACTTGCACCCACACCACTAGGTCGTAGTTTATTCGTACCAATTTGTGAACACAAATTAAGAATCAACTTCTATCGAATATAAATAAATATTTTTAATAGAAAACTCGAAGTATACATGTAGTTTGTAAATAATTCATAATAATTGTATTCGTAATAATTGTATTCATAACAATTGTAATAAATAATCGTATTCAACATACTGATACGTATGCACATTGTCCGGGAAACAAGAACGCCGAGGGCATCTGACGCCGATAACGATTTAATGTCAGGATCCGTTGCTCACACAATGTTCAAACCCTCGTGAGGTTTGGACATGCTGATTCTTTTATGAGCCATAGAGTCGGTAGATTATAATGTTCCAAATTCAATGGGTATGTGCGGTGCAACAAAAAATTAGACGCGATAAAAAAATAGCGTGAAATAATAGGGTACGTAATAAGTTGTTCAATCGTTCATTCTCCAGAAGAAAAAAAGATATTTACCAGGCAGCTATTGTAGGCGAAATAACCTGAGCGAACCATATAGAGACAAACCGTTCCGAAATAGTTCGAGTCGAAAACTAAGTGCCGACTAAACCGCCCGAGCATTAAGGACGGAAAAAAGAACGCATGCGGCGGTCGATATTTATATATTATTAATTCAAACCTGTATAAAAATCGCTGCAGGCGCCCACTTCATACTTGTACCAAGTGCTCGCTAATGATTGAAACGAACAGTATACACCGTAAAGATTACTTCTTTACAAGATTCGCCTTCATATTAAAAAAAAAAAAAAGCGCGCCTTTCTCAAGCGCTTGGCGAGTCTACGGAAAGACGTTGAAGTAAAACAAACAAATAGACAAACCATATTTTCACTTGGCAACGTCACGGCTGCTGCCGGAAGCGGCGGAGGACGGCAGCGACCGTGGCGAGCCTAAAAGCCGCGCTACCCGCGTGCAACGCAAGCGCCAGCGCCGCAACTACGGTCAGGGTGAGAACTACTTGTGATTGAGTGAGGTCTGTAATTAGAGCCCTGCATATCCGCGGATTACCCGTAGATCATCCTGGGCAAAAATGAACATCCGAAACCGTCTGCGACCGCACGGTGTGGTGGAGCGAAGAAGTGAGTGATACTATATGAAGTGCGTCCTCGAAGGTATTGCGGGATCAAACTACTCTCTTAGATAAAAGGTGCCCATCGGGAAAAAATTGTTCTTTACGTCGACACAGATTTGGTTCTCGCAAAAAAAAATAGCTTTAGAATGTTCTATTTCACCAAAAATACTCTCCCAGAAAGTCAAGAATGCGGGAGCATCACTCATCTCGGAAAAGCGTGTTCCTGTTTCGCAAGGAAAAATCGGAAAACGTTCTTTGGGCAAAGGAAACCCAAAACGTACAAGCGACAAGAAAGTAGAAGAAATCTGCAAGTGAACTCTTCGCCTATAAGTAGATCGGCGAGACTGAATTCGATCCTCTGGAGCTTGCGCCCGAACGAGTTTCCGAACCTGTCCTGTAGCGCAGTTCGTGCATGTATTAGTTTAAGAGACGCTAACTAGTCTGAGTCCGTCCATGTGGGCGATATTCTGTTTCTTCTACACAGCAACCTCGCCAAGTGAAACGCTGCGTTTACTGTGTGCGATTTTCTGTTTGTCGACAGTTGGCACTTGAGTTGCTTTTTAAGTATATGGTTCCTAGCATGCAGTTAAGGGACCGTGTTTAAAACTGAAACCGATAGGCGGTGTTGCCATTATTCAATATTGCGATATTTTCCCTGTGGTATACTCGACCCTTACCGTGCACATACACACGAGTACTTTGCTGCGGTGATTGAGCGCCTCCCACCTTTTTACTGCTTGGTCTAAATAAAATGACACATTGTGATTGGTCTGTACTTTGTTAATTTTTATGTTTATAATATATGCGTCTGCTTGAAGGGGCTTTTACCAAGCCAAAAAAAAATATATAAATTTTCTTCGTTCTGAGAGTATCTTCTGAACTGAGTGTCGGTGTCACGGACTACGATCTCATAACTGCGATCATCTTTCCAGCAATCCGAAGTGTCTCTGGAAGAATGAACGCTTACTTTATAAATACCATAAAACAAGATACTGCAAAAAAATACTTTCACCGTATTCCGTCGCGAAGAGTTAAGAGGTAAGCAGATAGGGTACCATACAATTTTTTCTTTCATGCTCGATTTCATTATGTAAACATGGTTCTTAAAACAAAACTGTCTTTACAATGTTATTGTTGCTGCGGTATGTTTTTAGCAGTTTACCGTGATTAAACAGCGGCGTAGTCGGGCCTGAAACATTACATTCGTATCAGCACGAGGCAATGTTCGATTTCCCACTTGTTGTATATTTATTTTCGCGAACAACCTCGCACGCAGAGCTACAGCGAGAGAGATATGTCCTACGACGTGGCCGTGATCAAGCTCGACATGCCAGTCAACTTCACGGACACCGTGAGACCTGTTTGTCTTCCTGGAACGGGCGCCACTCTTCCGAGGAACACCACCTGCTTCAGCACCGGCTGGGGACAAACGAGAGGTGAATTGCGCCGACATTCTACCGAAAACGGGTTTATGCGTCGGATTTCACGAGAAAAGCGAAACGCGCAGGCCTGCAGCTCAACATGAAGCATACACAACCAAAAGTAGGCGATACCTGAGCATTTAAAAAAAGAATACGTAGAAACGTACTTGGTCTTGATGTGTCATGCTTAATCATAATCAGCGAGGTTTATCGAACGTCGCAGCGAGAGTCGAACCCCGGGCCATGCGATTCACACTCCTACGCGTATGCCCAGCCGTTGGCCCCGCACGGCAAAGGGGCGAACAAAGGTCGATTCTCGGCGCGCTCAGTTGGCTTGCGAATGATGAAGCGTGTCCCCCCGCGTGATCTTACAACGTGACGGTTCCTGAATAAACTTAAACTTGTCTCGATCATTCCGATAAACCCAGGAAGTATGTGAATGTGTCGTGCGCGCGACGGGAGACTTGCTCACGTAATTTTTCGGGTTACATTTTTTTTTTTTCGTGATTCGACGTTTCAGTGTCGGAGGCCTCCGGACATCCGATGTACAGCTGGGATGTAGCGGAATTGTTAAGTATCGTTACAGGGCCCACTAAGATTCCGTTGAGTGGCAGTCCCTTAGAGGCACGGATGAAAGTAATTTTACAACTAGAAGAGGCGGACAAATAACTAGAGCAAGGAAGGCGTAGACAGGACAAGTGCTGGACTTTAAGTGATTAACTAAAAGGAAAAATATCGAACTAACCATCCACGTCACTATCGCGCCGACACGTGCTTCAAAAAGGTTACCTCATTCTTTTGTAAAGCAAACCGAAGGTTGACTGACACATGTTGCTCCTCACTTTCTGATCTCAAGCTCTTCCAGCAGTTACCTTGCAGTTTTATCGACCTTTTTCCCCAGAATCGTGATATACAGTCAAAGTATGGCTTACACATGCTAGTCACACAGAGTAAAGGTAAGTGCCCTCCCACAGTTGATCCCAGTGACAAAGCGTGTTCGCGCGTTCGTTCGTTGACACAACGGCCCGTCTGTCCTGTGTAGGTGCTCGACCACAACTGAACAGAATTGGATACACCTTCGCCCCCCACCCCCCCCCCCCCCCGGGCACTCAACGTTCCTTGTTTTTTTTGTTTTACTTTACATCACAAAGGAAGTCCCCGTGCGAAGTTGCCTGATGAGGGAGACCTGATAAATCTGGGAGACGTCCAACTTCCAGACGAAGTTGCCATGACCCTTATTAAAGGGCACAAAATTCTGAGTTGAACCACGAAGGAGTTTTCGCTGTAGTGCGTCGTGTATCTGATAAGATTGATGCCTATGAGAGGGGAAGCTGTGTTCCGTAAGATGCGGACTGTTTGGTACCTTGTGACAGGGTGCCTTTTTTCATCTGTCGTGAGAAACCTGGGCAAAGTAGTGTCGTCCTTTCAGAAAAATGGGCTGTCTCCTTCATAGAGATAAGCAGGGGGTGGTTGTTTTATTGCCCCAAGATATGTTTGGTACCAAGTCCTGTGCAGCAAGGCCTTTTTCACCCTCAGAACACGTAAGGGGGGTTCACCACTTAGGACTATTGTCACCGAATGAGGTACATGGCAACGGTTGATGACCCAATTCCTATCGAAGCAACTAAACACCCTGCATCTAGATGACCCCCGTTTTTGGTGCGGAACTCACAGATTGTGGAGTGCTTAAATTGTGGTACTCGCGAGAATGACGCTGTGTTCTCCATTGACGTTGTCAACTTCTTTTATTCGGCGCCAATGTTTTGACACAAATAGGGTGGCTAATTAAGTTTCAGAATGCTAGCAGTGTGGAAGTGGACGGGTTCATGAAACCGCTTCAGTTTTATCTTCGGTCGACCTTCGTTTTGTTTAACGGTGCGCGCTACTTGCAAGAGGGTGGCATATGCATTGTCGCATGCATAACGCCGGTACTGTGTGATAATTGTTTGGTGAAGCTAAACCGATTCGTTAGTGAGGATTTAGACGAAGCAGCGTCAACAGGTTATTTGGATTTAGAGATAAATACCTGGTTGTAACAAAAAGAGCTGATGAGGCTTCGGTGGATACCGCTGTCGCTTCTGTGTTGGGAGTTGGTTAAGCGTCACACTGGGGGAATCAAGTTTACACACGAACGCCAGGATGACATGCTTTTTGCAGTTCCTCGATTTAATACTGAAGTTCACTAAGAGTCACGTTTGTTGGGCCTATTATCCCCGCGCAAAGAAGGACCTTTTGCCGTATGATTCGTCTCATTTCAAGCTGGTCACGGGGGCACTGCGCCATCCTGCCTGCAAGCTGTCCTAGAAAAGTCTTGCCAGTATACGCTTTAAGGGAGATTTGGGTGGCAGTAGAACGGCTTGGTACTGCGGGTTACCAAGTGTCATTTCTTCGGTCTGGGGCTGAAAAGCTACTTCGAAAGATTAAGATAGAACGCCAACAACGTAGGGAGCGACCAAACAAAAGACCGTAGACAACACCTTATTTACGTACGTTTTATCATAGTATAAGAAAGAAAGCGAAGGGGTATGACGTATCGGTTGTCTTCTCGACACTTCTCGAAATGTCGCAAATATGCTCCAGGGTTTCTGATATGAAATAAATTAAACCAATGTGCAGTTAAATACAGAACAAGGTACGTTGGGTGCGAAGTGGAGGTGGTCGATCGAATCGAATTGAGTTGTGGTAGAGCACACATCGAACAGACGGGCAGCTGTTCCGTCAACGACCAAGTGCTCGAGCACGCGTTGTCGCTGATATCAACTGTCCTACTGTAGCAACTCGCGCACCTAGCTTTACACTGCGTGACTTGCATGAGTAAGCCAAGCTTTGACTGTGTCACGATTCTGGGGAAAGAGGTTTGCAAAACTGCAAAAGAACTTCTGGAAGAGTTCGAGATAAGATAGGAAGGCGCAACATGCGTCACTCACACTCGGGTTTGTTTACTTCAGAATGAGGTAGCCTTTTTCAAGCACGTGTCGATGCGATAGTGACGTGGATGGTTAGTTTGGTATCTTCCTTTTACGACATAATCGGTTGAAGTTCGGCGCTTGCCCCGACCAAACCTTCCTCATCTTTGTTACTATTTGTGCGCTGGTTCCAGTTGTACCGTGAAACAAATTTGGGGTTTTACGTGCCAAAACGAAAAACGGGCATCTGGCACGCCCCAACGGAGGACTAAAGGTTAATTTTGACCACCTGGAGATCTCTCGACGTGCAACCGAAAGCTCGGTTAGACGGCGCCTTCTCCGCAATAAGCCTCCGTCAGATTGCGGGCACCTCGGTCGGGATTCGAACCCACCAAATGGGGATCCTTAGACCGGCGCTTTGCCTCAGAGCCACCGAGGCAGTGAGTTGTATCGTTAACCAACTCGCCTGCATCGTCACTTTGGAAGTGATTTCTTACGACTAACGAGATTACTTGTAATCTGTCACTTTTTCTAATGTAGAAATTAATTCGTCGCTTTTCTGAACATGAAACTTCTAAAGTAACTGAATTACTTTTTCAGTAACGAATTACTGACAATTACTGGTTGGATTTCTTCCATCCCGTCAAAGGGAGAAATAAGTGGACAAAGGGCGATGCAATGGGCTTCGCGGCGAGAGAAAGGAATACACGGGAAGCAGACCCTCCCGTTCTCATCCCCGGAGGGATGCATCCCACCCCCTGTTAGTGCAGTCGAGGCTAGAGACGCGAACTCCTCTCTCAAGAACCTAACAGGAGCAACTACGAAGTTATAAGGCCCGTTCACACACTTGCGACTTCTTAAGACCAAGTGCCTTGGAAGGACACATTGGCGCCATCTATTGGGTAGCAATGAAAACTTGGCGGTCCCAGATATTTTCTATTTCTCTCGCGCATCATACTTTCTTTCTTGACTCGGAAAACTTTTCTCAACGTCATTTGCGACCGCTTCTCATACGTATTACGCACATTTGACCTCGAAAATCTCTCAAAACCTTCGCTCTAGTGAAACGCAGTTCCAGGGTCACCGCATAGATGGCGCCAGCGTGCCAGTGTGTTCTCTCGTCCTAACAAATTTTAAGAGGTTTCAAGGCACTCAGTTCTAAGGAGTCGCAAGTGTGTGAACAGGCCTTGAAAGTCCTCCCTGCCGTTCTTATATCCACTGAGGCCGAACCTCAGTTTAGGCGCAGCTGCCGGCTAGGCGCTTCACTTCCCGGGAATCCGGTTTCCGCGCATGCGCACTGGCCACACCTGGTGAGGCGAACATTGTTTAAAAACAACATGATGGTCCCCTCTTATTGCTCACTCAAAAAAAAATGCTTCCGGAGAAAGAAAAAAAATTACTTCGCCTGCTCATAACGAGATCTCAGAAAACGAAGATGGCAGCGGGCAGTGTGCAATAGTTGGGGTTCTCTTCGATCCAGGCACGGGCCACTCGACGCAGCTGAAGCAGACTCGCCAAGTGGTGCAGAGTTTTGACGCTTGTGAGGCCGTCCGGCTAATCCAACCGGTTCTGCAGGCCAACAACGTGGTGTGCGCCAAGGACGAATCCGAGTCCAGCGGACCGTGTCACGTGAGTAGCCGCTGTACAACATGATGGGTCATCTTCCTTTTTTTTACAGCTAGGGGTTTTGCAGCGGATCTTTTGTGTGTTTCGTGTACGTACGTCATGACCGGCTAAATTTAGCGGAAAAATGTTATCCGCTTAATTTTTCAGACCCCACAAACAACATTGTCAGACACCCATAAATAGCCCACCGTCATATCAGCTTTAACAATGAACAGCTCACAAAAACAGGACATAAGGAAGGAAGAGTTGTTCGATAATTCACAGTGAAGTTTTTTTGCTGTTCGAAGGTCGAGAGGGTGAGTGTTAAGGACGTGTGGGATTAAATTGCAAGAGATAGACACATTATGGTTTGGTGTGCCATAGTGAGCTTCAGACGCTGGAAGATTTGGTTTTGCAGTGTACGGGACTTCTTCCTGCCCACCCTGAAAGGGTAATGAATTCGGCGGGGGCGCTGAGTTTTGCTGGCCAGGATGGATGAATGAAGAACAAAACTACAGTCACAAAGAGGAGGTTAGAAGACTGGTGAAAATTTTCACGAAGTAAAGCTAACTAGCGCAGCAGGGTCCTAAAGTTTCAATCCTGTCTCCCAGTGGGCTCGGTGTGGGGATGACGCCGACGGGGTTTCACCAGAGGAAAATTGGCGACTCCTTCGCCGGGAAAAGAAGGCGGGGAATGATTTTTCAATCGTTGTTTTTTTCCCTATCGTTTAAATGTCATTCTGGCAATATCCCACACTGCCTGGTGATAGTTACAAAAATGCTGAGGAAAAGGAAAACTGACTTAGACGAGAAAAGGACTCAAACTTCTTGATTCTTTTAGGTTTCTAGCCTAGGTGGCGCGAGCTACCACCCGTCATAAAGCATGCAGCTGTTAGCATCCATCTATCCATTGGTCACGAAGCGTGTGATTGAACCCCAGTCTTCACTGGACGCTGAAGCAGCACTATATTTCGATACGACCTCAGCCGAGTTCACGCTGACACAGTCTCCGTGTCCATTTTATACTCACAGCAGGCGCCCAAGCAATGGCCGACTCGGGTAATTTACTCAGCAGCTGCTAGATGGGGCGCACTTTTAAAAAGGGTCTTTGCAGTGGGAAAAATGTCTTCACTGAATTTAGCGGAGAAATTTCTTCTCTATATTCAGGGCGAGTTTAGTATCACGTAAAGTCACCGCCGTACGCAGGATTTCCTTTTGGGGGGAGGAGGGAAGTAAAATAGTCTGCCCCCCCCCCCCCCCCTCTTTCCCCCGAGAAAAAGTGTATTGAAGTTCTCGTTGCTGTTGTTCTCTGTAAATGCTTCCAAAATTATGAAACCAACATTTCCTAATTGTCAAACGTGTGAACGTGCCAACCTCTACGTTCGCAAGTTTGGTCCAAAAAAAATATAGGTCCGGCCGCTGGAGCCCGCTGCCACCTAGGATGGATAGATACGGCCAAACCCTTTCATACCAGGCGGCGGCTTGCGTCTCCTAACGAAAGCCCCTAGTATTGACAAATAACTAATATGCGATTAAATACCGAATAAATAGAAAATTGTAAATAATATTCCAATAGCGCTGCTGAGCACAAGCATTTACTTAATCCCTAACTGAAAGTTACAATCTTTGTGAGGGAGGTGTCTAATCGTCCGACGGATTGGAAGGAAATGAATAGGAAAACTTCTTCCCTCGACTTATGCCATCCTATCGAACACGTGTGCTCGTCGACCTCCGCTTTCCCTGCGTCTACTGTTCTGTCGCTGCCTCTAAAGCCTTTGCTAACTCGGGCCTGTCGTTCGCAGAGCCCTCCCCTGTCACGTGACCCCTCCCTTTGGACGACACTTGGTGATGACGTCGGCAAAATCACGTGACGTCAGGCCACGCGCGGCCAGGTGCAGGCGCGGGAAAAAAACGGGAGGCGAACGGCAATGCCGGACAAGGGTTCCCACGCTACACTTCAGTATTCAGTGTGGCAGAACTTCTTGCGCGGGAAAAACCTTCTCAATCCACATTCTCCAAAAAGAGCTTAGCAGCCTTTGGAACCGAATGAATAGATAAGCATAGAAATGAATAACTAACTAAATAGATATTATAATTTTCTTTTTTATTTACGTTCACTTATAACTTATAAGGCAGAACGAGACGGGCGGCAGAGAAAAGCTCACTGGAGAAAAGCTCACCGCAAAACCGGCAGATGCGGAGAAAAGCTCACCGGCCTTTGAGCGAGTGCGAAAAAAAGCTCACCGATTTTTTTTAATTATTTTTCTTAGCTTAGCAGATTCTGCGTCACACGTCGCAATTTAACACAATTCGAATTCGTCACTTCATTGAATATATGTCCTTTTTTTGTAATGTTCTTGAAATTCATTGGGCCTATTTACCTCAGAAATTAGTATACACCAATTCTTTCCGCAAGTATACAATCATAACATTGGACACCGGTAAGAATGACAACAATTTATTGACAGCTGACAGTGCACCGTCGGTAGCTCTGTAAAAATAAAAAAAATGAAGAGGTTTGTTCTTTGCGAGCTAATATGAATAGTGGTGTATGAATGAAACTCTTCAGCTCCAAAGGTTGTGTAGTGCCTGATGGATAAATATGTGTTTGTAGATGTAATCAGTGACGGCTACGCTGTTTTCTTTCTGTTAATTTCAATAACAAAACTTTAGCTGCGAGAGCAGCTTCGTCAATCCTGTGGTGTTTGTCTTCACTCCGTCTTCGTTGTTTGAGCGGTTTTCGTCATGTATAACCTCTACCAACTCGTCCAATTCGCTACCTTACAGAAGACTGTAAACCTATATAAGACTGTAGTTCTTATATAGGTCACCTTAACAACGGTGATAGTGGGCAGCTCTGAAAGTCATGGGTAGCTCGCCGCAGAAGGGCACTATATCATACAAAGGCAACGTCTAAAAACACTTGCACGAACGGCTAGAAAACGTGCATGTCCGTGGAAGAAAGAAACCTTGATATCCTACTGACTGTTTTATCCCGTTTTCTAAGGTTAACAGAAGCGTCAAAGAGAATTTCAGGCACCGCGTTGTTGCGCTTGCCCTTTCGGATTTTCAGAAATTCAGTTTTGATTTTTAGGTTTCAGGAAAACATTGTTAAGTTTTCAAACTTTTTCTTGCTCTTCAAGTTCATAAAGTCATATCTCTCTAGGCTTTCGTTGCCTAGAGAGATAACCCCCGAAAACAGTGGCCCGCAATTATAAATTTCGAAGCAATATACCCGATAAGCTAAAGAAATAACACAAAAAAAGGACATTTCCTTTTTTACAAAGTTTACGAATTTAATGATAATAAATGGGGGGGGGGGGGGGGGGACATATGTTAAACATGATCCAACAACCTCCATATAAAAAAGACAAAAAAAAAAAAAAAAAAACGGTGAGCTTTCCTCCGCATCCACCGGTTTTGCGGTGAGCTTTTCTCCGGTGAGCTTTTCTCCGGGATTTGAACGAGACTGGGTCAAGATGGCAGCTTGTGTACTCGACTGTCGTTCTCTTCCGGGACTCACAGAGGCCCCTGTATTATCTGCGTCATCTACTGGAGGTGGGCTGCACATTGAACCCGGGTGTCGCACCAGCGCTCGGCGAGTCCCACCCGAATGCGGACGCAGCCACTCTCGATGTGCCCAGAGCTGACCCCCTAATGGCTGACGCAGACAAAACAGTAATCTGGCTCTGTTATCTGGGAAATGTTGTTCCGAGGGTTCTTTCGAAGCTCTCTTTACAAGCCTCCTCTATGACGCGTGCCTTGTTTAGGCTTCGAGATTAGTAATTTGTAATCATAGACCTTTTTTTTTTTTTTTTTTCAAAACTTTGGCGTCACCTAGTAACCGTTGCGCCAATTTTCCGAGTCTGCCATCGTTCGGGCACGTCCTCTAACCATGTGCCGGGCATGAGGGCAGCGTTCGGCGCCAACGCGGATCCAATCCACACACTTTTCGCCCAAGAAATGGCAACTGCCAACGTTGTGTTACTAACACCATCGTCGCAACGACGCAGGGCGACAGCGGTGGCCCCTTCGTCTGCCAGAACAAAGGGACCGGACGCTGGTTTCTGCACGGCATGACAAGCATGGGCGTAGACATTACCTACTCGAGTGCCATCTGCGGGATCGGCAGCTCGGCTATCTGGAGCAGCACCATCGCCTTCAGCTCCTACATAAGCCGAGTCTTGAGACTCCTCTGATGGTGCACGGCTCCGTCACCCTGGGCGCTTGCTTCGGTCGCGGCTGCAGCAGGCTTCGGGGACTGTTGCTGCCAGTCGGCGTCTCAAGATTGAGCGTTTCTTTACTTGACCTGACAATAAAGCATTTAAGCTTTAAGTATGCGCACCTGAATATCCTTGAGTGCTAAAACTTACAAACACGCGTTATTTTAATATTTTTGTTTATAAATAGTGTCGGCCTTTTTTTGAAGGCCACTGGTTGTTGTATACTTACACAGTTGCATCAAAATTGGGATGCACAAAATAAGCCTAACTACTATACTTCGTTTCAGCTTCGGTTCAGACGCAGCCGATGCTACAAGCGCGAGCATGTGGCCAAGAACAGTGCTTGCACTGCATGAGCGCGCGTGCTTGGCAGGGATGCTGAAAGCCCGGAGCTCGCGCTTGTAGCTTTGGCTGCGCCTGGACCGAAGCTGAAACGAAGTATAGCACAAAGTTATTACTTCTAAAAGGCTTAATACAATTTCAGATCAAATTCACGAGAGACGCTGATATTTTTAATTTTAGCACCGGTAGTATATACTGTAAACGACTTATTTTTAGGGGGCTCAATATTTCGCGGTTTAGGTCAAAGATTAAGTTTTGGAATTATTCTCGGGTTCTAACTTTCGCGTAGAGGTGGGATTTCAATATAAATTTTAATGTGTTTACATTTTACCGGAATTGTTCGCGGGACCTATTTTTCGCGAATTGTGGGCGATTCGAGAAATTCGCGAAAATTAGTTCGTCGCGAAAATTAAGTCGTTTGCAGTACTCCATCTTTTAATTGCATTGTATTGTTTCATTTGGAAAGCTTGTTTTAATGAAGGTCCCAAACGATACACGTTAGAAGAGTTAACAGTATACACTCTGCAACCCTATTCCACTATTTAATCGCTTCGACAATAAAAAAATGTATGTTTGAAAAAGGGTTGAACCATTTCATCGTGCTTTATATTTGACGTGATTGCATGTGCACTTATCCTAGACATAGTTCCATGACAATTTGTATTTCTTCATTATAAATTGAGTAAAGCAGCTTTAACCGGGCAACTCTCCTTGTAGTCCGTAATAACTGAAGACGACCCTGAAGACGAAACGTAAAGTGAGCTAACACTCACTTTACGTGAATCACCCTAAGAGCGTGGGAGAAGAGGAAATTTCAATGATTCGACCACTCACGCGCGTTTATAAATGGCGCAACTAGCCTCCTTGACCTGAGCTGGAGCGCAGCCATTTTTAAGACACAGGGTCGACACCCCCAAAGACGCTGGTCCTCGTGAAAGCTGCTTCCATTGCCAAAAGCTTGCGCTCCTTGGTCACCTGTGCTCTATTCGGGAGCTGTAGCATAGCCTTCTCTATACTCACAAAGCCTGGCAGTTCGATGACGGAGCCGTAGCAGATTTGGAGTGCGAGGATCTGGTAGCACAGAGCATTTCTCGGGGAACCTGGACGTCGGCGCACAGCTTTTGCAGCGGCGGGGACCCGAAACATGGTTTTCAAACCCGACGAGAAAAGAAGTGGTAGCGCGAGGAAGGCGAGGAGCACGAGCGGATATTCCACTGCTCGGGAGAATTGTGTTTCGGCGTCTCGCCGCAGCGGGGCGCTCGTCACGTGGCTCTCCTAGGGTGCCTACATGTCTGTCTGTCTGAGGGTGAAGACATCCATTGTTGCCCTAAATGTGCCAGCGCGTGACGCTCTCGCGCACTCGGTGCGTGATTTGTGCGGAAAAATGGCGTCTATGCATTAGCCAAAGCTACGCGCTCGAGCTGAAAGACACTAGATTGCGCGCGCTTCAAAATTCATAAAAAAACGACTGGGCGCAAAAATGGCTGAGATGTCACCACTCAAGCAAGAGCGCGCGTGTGTATGAAGGCACTCTAGGCTCTCCTCCCATCTGTTGTCTGCCGTTCTCGGCCGCTTCTCGTGGTTATCTGCCAGGCTTTATCAGCATATAGGAGGCCACGGGTGTGGCAATGGGGAGGAGGCGCGAGCTTGGAGAAAAAGGCGGTCCATTTAATTAAGATCCCTCCCTTTGCGACTCCAGCGAAATCGACACTGCGTAGTGGCAACGCCGGGAAGCTCTACGAGAAGGTCGTTTCGCCTCTGTCGCCTGCTCTGGTTGCCTCGTTTTCGGCAGCAAGGCCGAATTATCAAGGTTCAATGGGTTCAAATGCAAGGAGCGTTCTATTGATGGAAACCCGACCCCTCGGCAAAAGTTTCGGCAAGCGAAACAAAACCGATCTTCCGGTGACTCTGCCAGTAACATTTTACTCTTAAAGGGATACTGAAGCGAAACTTGAAATACACCTACTATGGTCAGAAATAGGTTCAATATGATCAATGATATTCATAAATCATAATCGCGCGTTTGTATTTTGAACGGATGGCTATATTTTTCACCCTAATGGGCCCGATTGGGCGCGCGCTCAAAAATCGGCCATCGGAGAGCGCGATGCGTCTTGGGATATTGGGTGCATTCGTGACGTCACTTGTGCCAGTCGGGAAAGGCTACGGCGTGAATGTTGTGGTTACGAGCGTTGCCACTTGGTGGCGCGTCGACGATTTACGACCCTTTCAAACTTTCAAAGGATCAGAAAGGAGTGCGCCGAACATTTGTGGCTGAAAGGAAAAGTCGCTGGGGAATCAACAGTCCTTGGAGTGGTTTACTTATGGACAGGGACAGGTGCTAAAGAGGAAAACAGAAAAATGATTGATTGCATATCAAGAGACATTAGTGAACCAGGGGAAGGCTCCGAAATAATTATTATGGGAGACATGAATGCCCATATTGAGGGTCTGGATGGGTATACGGACTCAACTGGAAGCATATTACTAGAACTGGTGGAAAAACATGACTTAGTTCTATGTAATACCAGTCAGAAGTGTGACGGGCACATAACTTGGGAAACTGGCAATCTGCATTCAACTATAGATTACGTACTCATGTCACACAAAATATATGGTAAGTTACAAGTAATGAAAATAGATGAAGAAGGTTCCAAAAGTCTTGGTAGTGATCACAAACGTATTAAGCTGAATTTCGCCAGAGAAGTAAATGCTGAAACTAGACAACATAATTCAAAGCAAACTTTCTGCAGCGACAAAGAGTTGGAAATAGTTGTTGAAAGAATAGAGGCAGCAGTTTCAGGGCAACGGCATACAGATTGGACCTATGAGAGCCTAACTAGGCTTTTTGCTCTAGAACTAGACAAAGTTAAGAGTAAACGAAAGGGGAAGCAAGGACATAGACCAAAAAGCTGGTGGGACAAAGAAGTGAAGCAAGCGATACAAAAACGTCAGGAAGCCTCTAGAGAACACAGGTATTCCAAGCGTAGTGGGGAGTCCGAAACGGAAGTAAAAAGAAAATGGGACAATTTTATAACATGTCGCCGAGAGGCATCCAGTTTGATCAATGCGAAAATTCAGAGAAAGGGTGAGGAATGGATGAGTAATGTAAGTAAGAAAGATAGAAACGCTGCCAAGAAGTTTTGGGAGCACTTGAACTCACTCGGTGAAACAACGCAAGCTAGACAGAGGTTCATACTCTCGCATCAGGGAGATCAATTAGAGGGAGATGATGCGATACAATATATAGGAGCAGTGATGGAGGAGAAATTTCGGGAACGGTTACATGTGGAAGATAGGAGAACCGAAGGAAGTAGCAGTCCAGTTTGTGACATCGCGGATTTTGGACAAAGAGAATGGGAAAAGGCGGAACGAAGAGTCCCTAGTGGCACGTCGACAGGCACAGATGGTATCCCTATCAAGCTGGTGAAGAATTTGGGTCCTAAATCTAAGGCAAAACTAAGGGAGGTAGTGAGTACCATGATAACAAAAGGAAATATTCCAGATGAATGGAGGCTTAGTAGGATGAGTATGATATATAAGGGAAAGGGAGATAAGTCTGATATTAGGAATTATCGTCCTATAACCGTGACACCGGTTATTTACAGGTTGGTAATGCAGATTATAAAGAACAGACTGGAGGAATGGGTAGATTGCGAGGGCATACTGGGCGAATTACAGAACGGGTTTCGAAAACAAAGAAGGTTGGAGGACAATTTATTTTCTCTAACACAGTGTATAGAAATAGCGCAAAAAGAAAACAGACAGCTCTGGCTGGCATTTCTGGATATCAAGGGTGCCTATGACAATGTGAACCAAAGAAACCTGTGGGACATAATGGAGAACTTAAACTATAGATGAAGGACTAACAGCACTATTAAGGAACATTTACAAAGATAACAAGGTGATTATAACATGGGAAGGAAAGGCGACAGGGAAAATAGAGATAAGACAAGGCCTTAGGCAGGGGTGCCCGTTATCGCCTTTGCTGTTTATGTTGTATCTGAGAGGATTGGAGGATAGACTAGAGAAGAGTGGGCTTGGGTTCAACCTTTCTTACAGTAAGCTGGGCCAAAAAATTCAGCAATCCTTACCGGGATTGATGTATGCGTATGATATTGTACTAATGGCTAACAACAGGACAGAGTTGCAGGAATTAATGAGCATCTGTGGTAGGGAAGGAGAGGAATTAGGTTTAGAATTCAGTAGCGAAAAATCGGCAGTCATGATTTTTAACGAGGATGAAGTTGAGAGGCTGAAGATACAGAATATTACAGTTGAGAGAGCTAGTAAATACAAGTATCTAGGAGTATGGATATGTGATGGTGCAGAATATCTCAGAGACCATGAAAAGTATATAGTAGGTAAGGGCAACAGAAATGCAGCTGTAATGAAAAATAGAGCACTTTGGAATTACAACTGGTATGAGGTGGTGAGAGAGATTTGGAAAGGGGTCATGGTGCCTGGCTTGACTTTTGGAAACGCAGTGCTATGCATGAAATCCGAAGTGCATGCGAGACTAGAAATAAAACAGCGCGGAGTAGGTAGACTGGCTTTGGGGGCACATTGCAAAACGCCAAACCAGGGAGTACAAGGAGACATGGGATGGGCATCATTTGAGAGCAGGGAAGCGGTGAGCAAGGTAGAATTTGAGGATAGGTTGAGGCAAATGGACGGGGAGCAATGGGCACGAAAGGTTTTCAGCTATTTATACATGAGGAGTGTAGACACAAAGTGGAGACAGCGCACTAGGAAATTAAGAGGAAAGTT